GGGAGAGGCAGAGGGAGAAGAGGGATGGGGTGACTGGGATAGTTTGGCCTGGACACATGGGGTGCATGGAGGAGCAAGAGAGGGAGGAAGGGGGGGGAGAGAGGAAGGGAGGCCATGAAGAAGCTTGGAGGAGACCATACTACGAAGAAGGGGAAAATTGGGGTGACCAGGTCGATGATGGAGGAGAAGGGTAGGTTGAGTGAGAGAACGACAGTCGCAAGAAGGAACGGGAGGGGCGGAAGCGGAAGAGGCATGATGGGCAGAAGGGAAGAGAGAGACATGAAGAGTGTAGAGGCGAGTAATAGGGGAAAGAGTGAAGCGTGCAAGATGGCGGTTGCAATGTTAGAGATCACAGTAGGAGTCACATTCAGGAAAGACAGCTCGCACACAAAGACGTTGAAGAGCAGAGAGAGAAAGAAGGTTGTGGCGGCAGGAAGGAACATAGAGGCCAGTCACAGCACCAGAGGGGGAGGCAGGACATGGAAGAGAGGAGGTAGCAGTGCAAGTCATGGTCATGGTATCCCCAGCCCCTTGAATGGAGAGGGGATGGGGAAAAGAGCGAAGCACACCAGCGTCACGAAAAACAGAGTCAGTAGCACCACTGTCAAGAACAAACTCAAGAGTGCGAGGGAGAGAAAGAGCAGCAGCTGTGGGACCAATATACTGAGAATCATTGCCATTAACAGAAGGAGCAAACATCATGGCAAAACGAGGGTCCATAAGGGGAGAAGCCCCCAGAATGCTATCCTAACTAGGCATAGTCACACTGAGAGCCGATGTTTGAGCACTGACATTAGAGTCGGCATCCACAAGTACCGCCTGGGCAGAAGACTGGCGACGCTGATGAGAGAGTTGAAGCCAGTTGGGAGGGCGACCAGTGTTGCCAGCCAGGAACCAGTCATCGGTGAGCTTCTGGAAGCAGGAGGAGGCGGGATGATTGGTGTGACCACAGGGCTGACCCTTACGGGGCCCTTGTCGAATGATGTAGGTGCAAGGAGGAAAGGTGTTGCGAGGGCAAGAGGAAGCAGCGGCGGTAGTGGTGGTGGGGAGAGGAGGGGGGGCGGAAGAGGGTGTGACAGCGGCGGCAGTAGGAGGGCAGCTGCGGAGGTTGAGCTCTACTTGGAGGAGGAAGGCAGAGACACGAGAGAACGACCACTGGTTGGCAGGGCGCTCACCTTACAGGGTGACATAAACACTGTATTCAGGAGTGAGGCCTATGAGGAGGAGGGCACCGCGCACATGATCGGAAAGTTCAAACTTTTGAGCGGCAAGTTGGGAGGACAGCATCTGCACACGAGCGATGTAGTCCGCCATGATGGTGAAGTCAGCAAGGCGAAGAGAGGTGAGCTCGCGTAAGAGGGCAATGACACTGATGGGAGTCTGCGATTGGAAGCGCTCGGTAAGATAGCCGAGAAGGTCCTTGGCATAGCGGATGTGCGAGCACTGAGGGAGAAGGGTTGGAGGTAGGCAGGCAAGGATGACCTGGCAGGCACATGCGTTGCCAGTCAGCGAGAAGATCAGAGTGAGATGGAGCAAAAGCAGAGGGCATAGAGGCAGAGCGGGGAGAAGGGGCAGCGAGGTGCTTAGTGAGGCGCTTGCGGGTGCTCTCGAGGGACTCAGCAAGGACACGAGCAAGGTAACGGGCTACAGCATTGTCAGGAGCAGCCGCAGCAGTGGCTTGGGCCGTGGCCGCAATCTGCTCAGTTTCAGCGATAGCAGCACGAAGGCCATCAGCATAGGGGTTAGAGGAGGTAGAGGTAGGTGCAGAGGAAGATTTAGGAATGGCGCCAGAACCACTCTGCTGAGTGACAAACCAGAGGTTGAAGCCACTCACGAGGGTGCCAGACAAAGTGCGCTCAAGACAGTTCAGCCAACTGGGGAAGTTGGTGATAGAATATATCTGTAACTGCCTGTAGCTGTAGTTTAGTGTAGTTATTATAAACTGTTGGTGGTGCACCTCCTTTGCATGCTCTGTTTGCTATATATACCCTAGTGCTCTCGACTCCCCCTTGGCCTAGGCTACCAAGCCTAGGCCCTAAACCTAACTTCTACTTATGCCACTATTCTCAACATGGCATTAGAGCCTGTTACGTCCTGGCCTGTGGGCCTGCCTCAAGCTTCCGCTGCTGTTTTTCCGGTCGCGCGCCGCGGGCGCGTGGCGAATTTCCTTCTGTCCCGCGCCCGGGTGGCGCGTGACGTTTTACCTGCCCGTCGTGCCCCCGTGGCACGCGACGGTGCCCTGAACTGCCCGTCGCGTGCCCCGTGGTGCACGACGGTGCCCTGAGCCGCCGCGGATCCGCCACTGGCGCCCGCATCGGTGCCCTGAGCCGCCGCGGATCCGCCTCTGGCGCCCGCAACGGTGCCCTGAGCCGCCGCGGAACCGCCCCTGGCGCCCGCGACGGTGCCCTGAGCCGCCGCGGACCCGCCCCTGGCGCCCGCGACGGTGACCTGAGCCGCCGCGGACCCGCCTCTGGCGCCCGCGACGGTGCCCTGAGCCGCCGCGGAACCGCCCCTGGCGCCCGCGACGGTGTCCTGAGCCGCCGCGGACCCGCCCCTGGCGCCCGCGGCGGTGCCCCTGCCTCACCCGCGCCTGCACTCGGTGCAGCCGCCCCTGCACCACCCAGCACCTGCCCTTGGAGCAGCCGCCCCCGCTCCTGCACTCGGTGCAGCCGCCTCTGCCTCACCCCGCGCCTGCACTCGCTGCAGCCACCCCTGCCCTACCTGCGCCGACCCTCTGTACCCTAAACCCTAAACCCCCTCCTCCTTCGTCTCCCTGCAGCCGTGGGAGGGTATGGGGGTGGCGGGTGTGGGGGTGATGGGTGGTGTGCTTCCCTTCCCCTCCTCCTCCTTTCGTTCCCACTGCTGCAGCTGCCGCTGGGGGGGAGGGTGTGAGGGTGTGAGGGTGTGGGGGAGCCGGGGGAGTGGCACTGGGGTGGCGGGTGTGAGACCAACCAGCAGCCGTCCCTCCACCTCTCCTCTCTTCCCCCCTCTGCTGCTCCTGCAGCAGTGTGGGGGGGAGGGGGAGGGGGAGGGTGAGGGGATGGAGGGGGTGACCAGCCAGAGCCAGCCCGCCTCCTCTCTCTCCCTGCTGCCCCTCCTGTGGTCGTGGGGGGAGGAGAGTACGGGGATGGCAGGAATGTCTTGCTGTCGCCTGTCCCTTTGCTGCTGTACCTGCTCTGTTACCGTGCCTGCTGTTGCTGTTGCTGGTGTACCCCTGCAGGTTGTGTTCTGCACAAACTCTTGCTGCAGGCAATTATGGGGGAGTGTTAGAATATATCTGTAACTGCCTGTAGCTGTAGTTTAGTGTAGTTATTATAAACTGTTGGTGGTGCACCTTCTTTGCATGCTCTGTTTGCTATATGTACCCTAGTGCTATAGTGAACACCATTCCCATTCTCAACTTTCTCTCTTAGCACAACTTTCTCGACTCCCCCTTGGCCTAGGCTACCAAGCCTAGGCCCTAAACCTAACTTCTACTTATGCCACTATTCTCAACAGTTGACTGCGCTGCCATCAGGCGCGAGCTGAAGGACCAGCAGAGGGAGGGAGGGGAGGGCGAGAGAACTCGCCATAAGGAGGAGGAGACAGCTGCAGAGCAGATGAGGGGAGAGGCATAAGAGGCCGAGGAATAAGGGCGAAGCAGTCTGCTGCTGAGCCACTGAGGGGAGAAATAAGAGGAGGAGGGATATTGGAGTAGTCTGCTGCTAAGCCGCTGAGGGGAGAAACAAGAGGAGGAGGGATAGCGGTGGAGTAGTCTGCTGCTGCGCCGGTGAGGGGAGAAACTAGAGGAGGAGGGATAGTGGCGGAGTAGTCTGCTGCTGCGCCGCTGAGGGGAGAAACTAGAGGAGGAGGGATAGTGGCGGAGTAGTCTGTTGCTGCGCCGCTGAGGGGAGAAATAAGAGGAGGAGGGATAGCGGCGAGGTAGTCTGCTACTGGGCCGCTGAAGGGAGAAAAAAAGAGGAGGAGGGAGGGTTGTGAAGGAGTTTACAGTTGAGCAGTTGAGGGGAGGGTATTGAGGAGGAGGAAAGGTGTGGAGGAGCAACAACTTCAAAAAACACAATCAGCCACTAGCTGCAGCAAATGAGGAGAGAAAAGAGGTGGAGGAAAAAGGGGGGTGAAAGCGTGGAAGGGGATTTAGAGGGAGAGAGGAGAGGAGGAGGATGGTGAAGGGGCGGATTTGTGGGAAGGGCGCGCCACAAGTACTTACGAGCTGTAGTAGATGAGGAGAGAAAAGAGGAGGAAGAGGTGAGATAGGGAGGGATGCACAAAGGAGAGAGGAAAGGAGGAGGAGGGTGAGGGAGGGGGGGGCGGATTGGGAAAGGGCAGGGGGCGCCGCAGGGGAGGCAGGCACGTGCGCTGCTCGACGAAGCGAAACGCGCGCGACGAGACGGGAGGTGGCGGGGGGGGGGGGGGGGGGGCTGAGCGCGCTACGAGCAGAAATCAGCGCGCTACCGCCGGGAACGTGAGGATGAGGAGGCGCGACGAAGAGGGAAGGTGCGGGAGAGCGATATGGACGGTAGGGAGGCGCGCTACGGAGTGGAACAGAGCATCCGCGTGACTAAAATGAAGAAAACCGCGAGGATGCTAAGTGTGACTTTAAAGTAACGAGAAAATAGAAGAATAAGAAAATCGTCTAGCTAAGTAGTGCGGAAATGGCCTTAGGGCCAGAAAAAATCTAAGAGATGCGGATAAAAGAGAAACGCCTAGGACTAGGCTTTGAATACCATGTTCAAGTTAGAGAAGCCATGGATGGCGAGAGGTTTTGGTGAGGTAGAAGAAGTTGGACTAGGAAGAGAATGTTGAGGTACAAAAGAGAGAGGGTTGGAAACCCTAATTGAACCTAGGGTGTGTTCGGTTTGTACTAAAAACTACGAAATGAACCTAAAATGAACCTGAATGCGTAACTCTCTCTAAGTCTAGAGAAATAAAATAAGAACACCAAAATAAAGGCCAAGGCGAGCTCTAGCCTACTCCAATAGCTAACCTCTCTAAAAATTCACCTGAAGGAGAAGAATAGGGAGATCGACGAGAAAAAGGCTGATGCGATAGAAGAAGCTGAAGACCTTCCGATTGATCCCGCTGTTTGCGAGATCGCCAACCTGGAAGTTGAGAAAGCAGTCGCCAAGCTTAAGCCGAAGTAGAAGCCTTCCCCTAACAGCGGCAAGAAGAAAGCAGTAGCCGGCAAGAAGGACTTTCCTGATCACAACAACAGGAAGGCTATCACTGTTGCAGCCAAGAAGACCAAGAAGGTGCAGCCGAAGCAGAACAGCAACAGCAACTGCAAGAAACGCTCGAATAGTCCTGGTAAAAAGGAGGATGTTACTACTAACCATGCGATACAGTCGATGGGATGCGCCTCCACCAAGACAGACGGACGCAATGCGACTCACCCTAAGAACCGCAACCCCAAATGGCAAAAAATGGGGGAGGAGCCGTCCGCGGAAAAAGAGGTCGATAGTAGCGGCAGATTTTCACTCTTACGCTCTCATCCTCTTCGGCCGAAAGACCAGGAGTCAGCTGCGCTCCAGAGTGACCAACCGCGGCATACACAATTTCAGCAACCATGTCTTCACACGTGACGAACTGAATCTCCTTAAAGCTCAAGGCCCAAATTGTTCAACTTTAGTAAGGTTGACCGTTGGGCTGCTGGGAAGGTTCTCACAGAAGTTGACAGGGGGTGTTGTGAGCGACGGCTGTTACCCTTTCGCACAACACCTCGCTACACTTATCAAGGGGGGAGAACTTCGAGTTTGGTTGCTCAAGTCCCAAGTTGCAACCGAGCAAGTTTCCGAACCCCCTCCATCAATAATACTAATCTTGCCCCTCGCGGTCTGCAATTTGGGCCTTGAGCTTTAACTTGGGCCTCAAATTCATCACTTTCCCTGCAGTCCGTAACATTGCAAGTCTAGAAGTCGAGCTGTTTTATTTTTTTTAGAAGTGTGCGTATGATGTATATCTTTGGCGGAACTGATATCGTTTCTGATTATCCCGGCTATAAGCTCCCAAGGCGGGAGAACTTGGATCCACCAATGGCTTCCTCCGAGATCGAAACAGCTCTTGCAGTCTATAAAGACTCGGTGATGAAGGACATCAGTGGACATTCACGCCTACGGAAAAATGTCATTCTACATTTTAACGGCTTGCTAGAAACTCGGATCTAATTTGTTTAACCTGCACATACGAATCTTGGCCTTTTCAAGAAAAGTGTAGAGACTATTATCAAGAAAAGTGCCTTCAACACCTTCTACATAAGAAAGTCTACATAGAATACTCTATTGTCCCAATCGACGACATTTTAAACGATCTGCATTCTAAGCATTCCAATTTTCTAAGAGGGTCTGGATTTCATTCTTCAGGCAACCTAATGGCGAATGGAGAATTCCAGCTTTCTACATTTTGATGAAGATTGTTTTAAATAATAATTAAAAAAGGGTTCCTGCTCAACGACCTATTGCGGCATGCCATTCACAAATTACTTCTAATGTTTCCCGTTGGCTTAACATGATCCTACGTCCGCTGGTTCTACAACATACTTACGCCGAAAATTCGCAAAGTCTCATTCTTGAGCTGGAACAACAACGCTGTTCTAAACAGCTTCAGCTCGCTTCTTACGATCTAGAATCGCTCTACACTGTCAGTAGATCTGCACTGTGGATGCCCGATTGATCCTAGGGGGGTTACAGGCGCGTTCGCCTGGGGGGTTATGGGCGCACTCACCCGCTACTTAACAAGCCCTTTTATCCCAGTGGTCTAGTGACTGGGATTCTGACATACACGTCTATTCCTTTACTAAACGGTTTTGATGATGTTTCCTATTTTCTTCGGAAATCAAGACATCCGCTAGCTCCCCTCATCACTCGACTTCTTCCTTGGGTGATGTTCAGCAGACGTCTCTTTCAACAGCAGATTCTTTCACCAAATACATGCCACCGCCATGGGAACTTCTGTAGCGGTCTGTCAGATTTATATGACATAGCTACTGTAGGCTATAGTGGGGTAGCACATATGGGGTACAGTTTTCTAGGGTTTGCTTTTGTACCCAACTTTCCTTTAGTCATTCTCATTCCTCGTTTCTTCTCATGGTATCGAGCAGGTTCCCTAGTGGGAACACTTCCTAGGGCCCACCACGAATTTTTTTTTCCTGCCCGGAGCGCGCTTCGCTCCTGCCCGAGTCGCGCCCTGTGTGCCCTCCCCACCGTCGCGCCCTCTCACGGCCCCTCACGGCCCCTTCGCGTCGCCCTTAGCGGCCCCTCTCACGGCCCCTTGCGCCGCCCTTACGGCCCCTCGCGCCGCCCTTACGACCCCTTACGGCCCCTCGCGCCGCCCGTCGGCCCCTCGCGCCGTCCCTTACGGCCCTTCGCGCGGCCCCTTACGCCCCTTACGGCCCCTCCCACGGCCCCTCACGGCCCCCCTACGGCCCGTCGCCGCCCTCCGCGGCCCCTCGCGCCGCCCTATCACGGCCCGTCGCCGCCCTCCGCGGCCCCTCGCGCCGCCCTATCACGGCCCGTCGCCGCCCTCCGCGGCCCCTTGCGCCGCCCTTCACGGCCCCTTCGCCGCCCTTCGCGGCCTCTCGCGGCCCTGTCGCCGCCCCCCCCCCTCCGGCCCGCCGTCGCCGCCCCTGCCGCAGCAGCGGCCGCAGTCCCTACAGCAGCGGCCGCCGCCGTCCCTGCAGCAGCAGCCGCAGCCGTCGCCAGCAGCAGCCGCCACCACCTCCCTCGGGGCCGCAGCTGCTGCTGCCGCTGACTGCACCCGCCGGTGCGCCTCGGCCCTACCGGCGCCGCTCCACCCGGCCCCGCCGCCGCTCCCCGCGCGGCCCCGCCGTCACCACCGAGCCGCCGGCGCCGCCGAGCTGCTGCCGAGCTGCCCGATCCACCCGAGCCGCCCGAGCCGCCGCGCCACCTGAGCCGCCCGTGCTGCCGAGCCGCCGTACCGCCGAGCCGCCCGAGCCGCCCGAGCCCCCGAGTCGCCGAGCCGCTGTTGCTGCCGAGCCGCCGTACCGCCGAGCCGCCCGAGCCGCCCGAGCCGCCGAGTTGCCGAGCCGCTGAGCCGCCGAGCCACCCGAGCCGCCCTGTCTGGTAAGAGCAGCGCCTCTGTCACTGCACTGCCCTTACCCTACTGTTCGCGCTGCTAGTCTACTGCTGTCATGGCTACCCCTAGTGTCCTCGCTTTTGACGCTGAGGGTCGGGCCATTGACTTTGACGTCTGGGTAGATGACCTGCAGCTTTTCCTACAGTGCGATAGGGCAGATGGTCTCTCCCTCTTTGACCTCACCTCTGGTGCCTCTCCTGCCCCTGCTGCTGATGCCGACGCCACTGTTCGCTCACAGTGGGCCACTCGCGATGCTGCTGCACGTCTTGCTGTGCGTCGCCACCTGCCTACCTCTGAGCGTGCGCACTTTAGCCAGTACAAGAGTGCTCAGACCTTGTACGACGCTGTAGTTGCGCGCTACTCCTCCCCTGCCACTGCTGCACTGAGCCGCCTCATGCTACCGTACCTCTTCCCTGACCTTGCTGCCTTTCCCACAGTCGCTGACCTCATTACGCACCTCCGCACTAGTGACACTCGCTACCGCGCTGCGCTTCCTGCTGAGTTCTGCGCCAAGAACCCCCCCCCCATGTACATCACCCTCTACTACATAGTCACCCGGCTCCCTGACTCCCTTCGCGTAGTCAGGGACCACTTCCTCTCAGTTTGCCCCACCACTCTCACCGTTGACCTCCTCGAGAAGGCCCTCCTAGCAGCAGAAAAGAGCATAGTAGCTGTAGGAGCCTCTCGTGGTGACCCTCGCACCCCCATCTTTGAGGGGTGTTCCCCCTCCCCCCTTTTGCCCTCTGTTGCCTCTGCTGCTGCGGCCGACCTCGTTGGGCTTGAGTCGGTCGGTGCGGCGTCTACCCCTAGCGGGAGACGCCGCCCTGGCAAGGGCAAGGGGGGCAGGGGCACTGGAGGAGCTAGCGGGGGCGGTGGAGGCGGCGGTGGAGGCGGTGGAGGGGGTGGGGGTGGCGGTGGGGGTGGTGGCGGGGGTGGAGGTGACGGTGGCGGCAGTGGAGGCGGAGGCGGCGGCGGCGGTGGCGGTGGGAGCGGAGGTGGCGGCGGTGGAGGAGGCGGCGGCGGAGGAGGTGGAGCTGGTCGGGGTGGCGCTGCGCAGAGGGTCGGCTCCGGTGGTGGTCAGCGCCAGCAGCAGCAGCAGCAGCAGCAGCAGCAGCGCACTCGTGACATCCCCCCCCCCTCAGCAGCTCCGTGAGTGGTACGCTGCACTCCAGCGGGGTGGGGGTACTGGTCCGTGCACCTACGTCCTACGCACCGGAGACCGCGCGGGTGAGCAGTGCTGGGGTGCGCACTCCACCCAGCGCTGCTTTGGCCGCCTGACGGACGCTTGGCGTCACCAGTTCCCTGAGGCCACTGAGATTCCCCGCTGGGGTGAGCTGTCTAGGGCGGGTGTAGCTGTCTTTGACCTTGACTTTGATGCTATTCTTGCTGCCATGTATACTGTGACTATTAGTGATGAGGGTGACTGTTACCGGTGTTTTCTGCCCGACCCGGGCATTGAGTCTGCTGCTCTAGGTACTGGTGAGGCTGCTGCTCTAGGTGCTAGCTAGGCTGCTGCTCTAGGTACTCCTGCGTCTGCTCCCTCAGGTGCTGGTGAGTCTGCTCTCTCAGGTTCTGCGTCGGCTTCGGCCTCCCACACCTTCACCCTTGACTCGGGGGCTTCTCGCTCCTTCTTTCGAGACCGCACCACACTCACGCCGCTTGGTCGGCCAGTTGCAGTCTCTCTGGCAGACCCCTCTGGGGGTCCTGTCCTTGCTCACTTCTCCACTGTCCTCCCGTGTCCGGCGGCCCCCTCTGGCATCCTGTCTGGTCTTTACCTCCCCTCGTTCTCTACGAACTTGGTAAGTGGTGCTGACCTACAGGATGCGGGGGTTCACCAGTTCACTCCTGCGAGTCAGCGGGTGACCCACTGCACGGACGCTCGGACAGGCCGACACCTGGCCACGTTTACACGTCGGCCGGGGTCGAGCCTGTACACACTGACCACTGCGTCTCCTCCAGTCACTGCGTCTGGTCAGGTAGCTGCGTCGGGTCAGGTGTTTGCTGCAGCGTCCAGGTCTGGTCCTGAGTCTGCCCCCTGTTCGTGTCGCCTTCTGTCTCACGAGACTCTCCTCTGGCACCACCGCCTTGGTCACCCCTCCCTGCTTTGT